CTTGGAGTTAGGATAACCATGTATGTCACTTATGGAACTGTTGAAACTCACCGGCGAGGTTCCGATTTTGGTTCCCTAATTTTTTGCAAAAAAATGTGAATTTTTTTGTAATAACCCTAATTTTTTGTTTGGACAAAACCTTATTTATTTTCTATAAACCCTAATATTCATCTATGTCTCCTTCGTTGTCAAACAAGGTACAAGAATTGTGATTACTTTGCGTCGGCATTCGAGACTCTTCGACAGAGGTTATGTGAGGCCCCGGTATTGACCTTTCCGGGGGGAGTAGAGGATTTTGTGGTATTTTGTGATGCATCCATCACCGGTTTGGGGGCAGTCCTTATGCAGAAAGGGCGGGTGATTGCTTATGCTTCGCGGCAGGTTAAGCCGCATGAGACGCGATATCCCACACATGATCTGGAGTTGGGGGCAGTGGTGTTTGCCCTCAAGATTTGGAGACATTATCTTTATGGGGTCCATTGTACTGTTTACACTGATCATAAGAGTTTGATATATCTTATGGATCAGCCGAACCTGAAGAAAAGGCAACGCAGGTGGCTGGACGTGGTCAAGGATGATGAGTGCGAGATCCTTTACCATCCGGGCAAAGAGAACGTGGTAGCGGATGCTTTGAGCCGCAAGTCGGCTGAGTCTTCAGTTGGGGAGATGTGTATGAGGATATCCGTTGATTCTCCGTTGTTGGGTTTGATCAGAGAGGCTCGGGCAGAGGGAGTTTGAAAAGAGAACTGGAAGTAGGAGAGGATCAGGGGTGAGATCGACAGGTTTGTCACCGATAGTCGAGGGTTGTTAACTCGATGCAGACAAGTTTGGGTCCCAGTTTCTGGAGGGATCAGACATATTGTGCTGCAGACCGCTCAGAGTCGCCAGAAGAGCTATGCCGACCGACGCCCATCAGAGTTGGAGTTTCAGGTCAGCGATATGGTATTATTGAAGGCCTCACCTTGGAAAGGTGTGATACGCTTCAGGAAGAGGGGGAAGTTGGGCCCCCGGTATATTGGACCTTTCCGTGTGATCGCCAGGGTAAGCAGGGTGGCTTACCGGTTGGATTTGCCTAGCGAGCTCAGTCAGATCCACAACACTTTCCATGACTCTCTGTTGCGTAAGTGTGTGTTGGACAATGAGACAATGATTTCTTTGGATGATATTCAGGTCGATGAGCGCCTGAATTATATTGAGAGACCGATGGCTATCTTGGAAAGAAATATGAAGGTCCCACGCAACAAGGAAATACCTTTGGTAAAGGTTTAGTGGCAGCATCGGAGAGGCTCCAAGTGGACCTGGGAGCCGGAGGCTGAGATGAGGGAGCATTATCCTGAGTTATTCACTGCAGCAGACTTCTAGGAAAAAGTCGAAGTCAAGTGGGGGAGAATTATAACATACGATTTAAGGTACTTTCATTATTAACCCTAAAATTGAAGTATAGTGCATCCTGATGATTTTTGGCAAATTGGTCCAAACGCCAGGCGTTTGGCACGAGACGCTTGGCGTTCAAACGCCAGGTGTTCTATGATGAACGCCAGGCGTTTGCACGCAGAGATCAAACCCTAATTTTTAGGGTTTGCACCCTATTTAAAGAACATTATGGCCTCAAAACCCTTTCTCTCACCAGCCTCCATCTTTAGAACGACCCATCTTGCAAACCCTAGCCCTATTATTACATTTTGAAGCTTTAGTGTCTGTTTTTGTGTGTTCCAAAGGAAGAAGAAGGTGGTGGTAAAGCTTGGAAGCTTGTAGAAGCTTTAGATATGGGATCTTCATCATCCCAGCAACCTCCAGGAGGTATAAAGCTCTGAACTTGATCATCATATCTCTAGATCTTGATTATGTTAGAAGTTTATGCTTATTAGCCCCCATTTTCTTGGTATTTTTAGGGTAGGAGCTACCTTAGACCAAAGGAGTTGTCCTTTTGGACGTTTTAGGGTAGATTAAGTGATAAAAATGTGATCTTGGACCTTCCTTTCACTCCATGCAAGTTTTAAGATGTCTTAATGGGTTAAGGAGTTGGAGTTTTAGCTTTTGGGCTCATTGTAGCCATCCATGGCCATAAAGTTTGCAACTTTATGGCTTTAGGTGTTGCATTATGTTTGGATCTGAAGTTTGGACTGGATATCTTAAGCCATTAAGTCATTAGTTTGGAAGGTGGTGAATAGCGAGCAAACGCCAAGCGTTCGCATGGGAACGCCCGATGTTCGGACGCCAGGCGTTGTAGGGAGGAACGCTAGGCGTTCTGTGCTGAAGCCCAATGGGTCGATTTTGGGCCTTGGGACATTAGGGCTTTTGGGCTTTGGACTAGCATGTTGGGCTTCCTTGGATTTTAGGCCCATGATGGGTCCGGGCCCAATTTGGAAGATTGGGCCCAATATGTTTATCTGTTATGTATATGCCGACATGTTATGTGCGGTTGGGTTGAGGCGGACCAGTCAGGCCGAAGGCCCAGAGAACGGTCCAGATAGGTTGAAGGCCCGGTGAGGCGGTCCAGTCATGCTGAAGGTTCCGTATGCATGCTATTTTTTGTTATGTTTATGTGGTGGTGCTTTGGGGGAAAACTCACTAAGCGTTGGCTTACAGTTTTGTGTTATGGTTTCAGGTACTTCGGATGATCGCGGGAAGGCGAAGGCGTGACCGTACACATCCTCTTGTTTATGGCTTGTGATTTTGGAAGACTCTAATATTTGGAAGATATTTTGAAAACCATGATTTGTAAACCATTTATGATTTTGGGTTGATTTTAAAATGTTAAATTTCTTGTGATTTTTATGGATGTTACATCTTTTCTTCAAGTTCTCGTAAATATGTCTACACAATGTTTGTGCTCTGTAAAGGGTAACATTTCTTTCACTGCCTCAATCAGACCCTTTTAAGAAAACAAATAAGTTATGACAACTCATGTTTAAATAAAAAATAAAAATGTAAAAAACTAAAAATTAACGATTACCTTGTGTTGATATGACATCAAAGTATAGTCATTTCCTAAATTCAGTTGTAGGTCAACGAGATTATCCAAAAACCACTTCCAGTTGTCCTTGTTCTCTACACAAACAATTGTCCATGCCATATGGTAAATTTGGTTGTTTGCATCCCCGCTAATAGCACTAATCAATTCTCCTTTGCAAATTCCCCTTAGAAAACACCCATCAAGACCTATTATTTTTGTACAACCCTCCATCTATCCCTTGTTTACTCCCTAAAAGCACACATATAATTTACTAAAATAGTTTTTCCTGCCTGTCATGCAATTGACATCAAGCTTCATAAAAGACCCTGGATTTGATCTCCTTATTTCTTCATCATAGGACCATAATGTTGCATAGTGTTCCACAATATATTCTTCAATAAGTTGCAATGCATACTTTTTAGCTCTTCTACATTGTCCAAGACTTACTTGAATACGAAACTTCTTTATTACTTTCAATCTAAGTTTCCTTACACTAATCTTCTACATATGTAAAATTTAGTTACTATAGTGACCATAACTTAAATTTTCTTGCAAAATTATGCTCACTCTTCAAAGATTTTATCTAGAAGGTTTCTTCATCACTCATTCAGGATGCACATAACCTGAATGTGCAAGAACCCTTATAACACAAAATTAATTGTCTTTTCCTATCATTATTTTGAAACAAAGTTGGTACTCAATGGCCAAAACATAGTCACGCAACGTGATTTCACTTGCCTTGGGTCCTTAAACCCCATACCAAGTACATGCTTTTTCTTTTTCCAATGTAAAGATTCATTAAAAATGGCATATACCTAGTCTCACTTGCATCCTCAACAGCTTTATCATTGTTGATGTTGAAGTCCTCTCCCTTTTGAGCAGACAATTTACTCAGAAATTCTCCATTTGATGTTATGTTCATAAGTAATGTTTCCTCGGTATAATCAACATAAACTTCACCCATATTAGCTACTTCTTTCTCATTTCCCCACCCATGATGCATGGATCATGTTCATCTTATTCATTGACTTCATCAACAAACAATTCATCTATTCCAACACCAGTATGGTCCACATAGAAAGAAATTTTACCATTTGTTTCATAAGCATAAAAACTGAAAGATGCATAGTCTAGATCATTTGCAATGGAAGAATCTCATCCAACAATGTTTCATCATACTCACAATAGTAAAGTTTCTTGCACTATTCTTGCATGAAACGTTCAAGCCAGGTCACACACTCAAAGTAGGTCATACCAGCAAAATCATGATCGTCAATGGTAAAGGTGAAACCATTAGCATAAGAGAAGAGATCACGAACAAAACCCCATCATAGTTGAGCTCCACTTTCGCATAAACTCCATCAGGATTCGGATTTGCCACGTCCACTGCTTAGATGCTTTTACACTTGAAAAAACCCTAGGTTTTTTTGGTCTACTTTTTTGTTTATGGAACAAACCGATGGAAGAAACTATACCACATTAATATATCGATACTTCATTTAAACGATGTCGAATTACTTACATGTCGTTAAAAAATATATTTAGTATCATCAAATCAACAAAATTGGATGATTGCTTCACATTTCTCAAAATGGTTCAGTTGACACGTGAATTCATACATAAATGACCTATCGTGCAAAAAGGAAATACATTAAGGACCTAATAAAGACAATTAATTAATGTTCTCCAAGGTCATTTTCCCATTTATTTGAACCAAAAAAAGAGAAGTTCGGAGAAAGAGAGTGAAGAAGGGTTGACGCTCCTTCTACAATGGGACAAGACTCGAGTATTGGTGATGAAAGCCAATGGCCTGTCACAGACAAACTTCTTGCCAAGTATTCTCATCAAATTGGGACTTATGAGAGTCCGAATCGCCCAACAATGAATGAATGGTCGAGGCCGAGGTTTGTCTTGTCTTCCTTCTTAAATAAAATAAGGCTAAATAAGACTTGCATTTATTTGTTTGTGTATTTATTATTCTCTACATTCACATTCACTCTGAGAAAGAATTGTATTATCATGGGATTGAGAATGGGAAGATTTAGGGTGCTTATGAAATAAATGGAAAATTTTATAAGGAATTATTAGTCTTGTCTTCATCGGGTGCTATCTATCTATCTATCTATCATCTTTAACAGAGAGTGTAGTATTTGACAAGATAGAATACATAAAATCATATCATATTTCCTTATGCAAGCAAGGCTCTCCTTATCTTCACCACAAGTACAAACAAACATTGTGTGTGTCTGTGTCTGCGCGACCTACCTACATTATCTTCCATCTTCCATTTTTGGCAAATGGCAATGCCCTAATATGAAAATCTGTCATGTCATCCATCAAAATCCGAATGGTGATTTCCTCCTGCTTCCGCCTTCTCCATATTGCTCGTTCCATTTTCTGAGTTCATTCATGCTTGTTGCATCATAAGCAACAGATGGGCCCACCTATACATTTTATATATATATATATATATATATATATATATATATATATATATCATCCAACAATTTTAAGTTTATAACCAACGGAAAAGACAACGGAAGTGAAGTGTTGTTTGAGTTGTTGGAAAAGAACCTTGGCTTTGGATTGAATAAAATCATCCAAATTAAGCGCTCTTAATGCTGCTGCTGGAGTTGTGTCGTGTTTCTTTCCCTGTGAAATGGGAATGGGAATGGGATTGATGTATAAAAAAAAAATAAACAGAAACATATAAAGGACTACAATGAGTTAGTTAGTTGGTTATAAAGCTGAAAGAAAAAAGCTTACTTTCTTTTCTTCATCTAAAAGTTGTTGAACGGGTCTATATGCCGCAGCAATACACAGATTCTGCACAAAACAAAAGAAGAGAGAAAGAAATATAATCAACGAGGAGAGGACATAATTTAATACAGCAAGAAAAGAAAAGAAGAGACTTTGTCATCGTCCCAACTTTTTTACAAACTCATTTATTATCTATCTGTCTAGCTCCTTCCAAATGCTCCCCATTGTTTATTTTCTCAAGTATTTTTTAACCATCATATCATATCATTTATAATACAGATGACATTTAGATGATTGATTACCTTCAAATCACTCCCAGAGTATCCTTCAGTTGCATTTGCAAGAGCTCTGATATCAAAACCAGGTGCTACATTCTCTTGGGCAAGAAATATTTTGAGTATCTTCAATCTATTATCCGCATCTGGCAGGTCCACATATATCCTAAAAACCCAACCCAACCCCACCCCAATATAAGCAAACATTACATTACACCAAAGTAGCTTAAATATGGTATGGTATGTTATGTTATGTTATGTTATGTTATGTTGTTACCTTCTTGGTAATCTACGGATGACAGCATCATCAAGATCAAAGGGTCGATTAGTGGCACCAAGAATGAGAATCCTCTGACTGTCTTTTGATCTCAATCCATCCCATGCTGCCATGAACTCGTTCCTCATTCTTCTCGTTGCCTCATGCTCAAACCCCCCTCCACGCGCCCCAAGCAGACTGTCTACCTGTTTGTTTGTTTGTTTGTTGTTCAACATCCACATCCACATCCACCAAATAATGTTAAAAAAAAAAAAAAAAAAAAAAAAAAAAAAAAAAAAAAAAAAAAAACTAAACATAAGGATCATGTTAAGGGCATTCACGCCTGTCTGTCTTTTGCACAGAAAGAATGAGTGGGTTTTTTTGGTTGTGCTGTGCAGTAATAATATGATGTTTTTGATTTGAAAAATAAACATTACCCACCTCATCAACAAAAACAATAACAGGGGCCAACTTGCTGGCAAAGGAGAATAGGGCCTTTGTAAGCTTTTCCGCATCACCAAACCACTGTGGATACATAACAATAAATATCAGAAAAACAGGAGCCAACCAGAGAAGGAAAAATATCACTTGCAACCTACATTACAATACAATTTCTTATTACACATAACAGCAACGTACTAACTTTTTTACCCATATATATATGTATATAATAATAGCATACTTACATATTTTTTTACCAATAATAGCAACCTAATTGCTACCTGAGTAAGTAATAGTAATGTAGTTTATTTGTTACATATTGCTGCTATTATCAGTGAACAGGTTGCTATTTATGTGTAGAGAATAGAGATGTAAGTGTGTTGCTATATCTAATTAAGTAGATACACTGGTTATTTGGTATTTATTGATTGGGTGGAAATGCAAGTAGAGTACCTTGGATGTAAGTGTGGAACCAGTTATGCTGATAAAGTTAGCTCCTGCTTCAGTTGCAAGTGCTTTTGCAAGAAGTGTTTTCCCAGTTCCAGGAGGCCCGAAAAGCAATATTCCTTTGCAAGGCTGGTTGGTAAGGTTGACAACAAGAACAAATCAAAAAGAAAAGGAATACTTTTTTTGTTAGCTAGCTACACAAAGTCAACAGCCATTCAAAAATAAGATAAAATAAAATTAAAAATACAGACCCTGAGTAGATTTCCACGAGAGAAAAGCTCAGGTCTTTTCATTGGAAGAATGGCAAGTTCATGTAATGCAGTTTTCACATCCTCAAGAGCACCAATGTCATCAAACTTTATACCGATTTCACCCGGAGGCACCACTGCTGAAATGAAGTTGCTCTCATACTCATCCTTTGCAAGGTTCTGTGGCATTCATTCATTTATATTGTGTATGAATGATACAAGAAAAATTTTGTGTAGTGATCAAAAATCAGATACATCATCTGTATATAAGCTGCTTACTTTATTTATAACTGGCAAACAGCATTCTTAATTGAAATAATGATGCCATTTATCTGATGGTTATCGAAATAATTTTATAATACTTGAATATGAGATAAGGTCATACATATATATACATTATAAAATAGCAAGCAACATGCTATCCGTTTGTCCCATTTAATCCACTCTAACTATTTTTTATGTATCTATCAAAAAAGCATATTTGACTTTCTTCAGTGTCTCATCTCATCAACATTTTGGTTTACGATATTAAACCATTTGCAAAGTATGTTGGTTGTTATTGATAAGCAAAATATTTCCCTGTTTCCAAATGCCAAATGGTTTGGTATTTTTGCATCAAAACAAAAGATTGCTGAGATGATGACTTGAAAAAGTCTCAAGTTTTTTTACCAAATGGCCTAAGTGAGATGCTACTGTAACTAGGTATGTACAAAAAGACGAATTGCAGGGATAGCAACATACTTAACTCTTGCTAGTGCTACCAATATGGATGGGAAATCCATGTTAAAAAGATACTATACTAGTAGTATCTTTTTAACTATAATAGCAATCTACTTACCAGTAATAGTAATATATAACTTCAGGAATGTTTACACACACCATGATTATAATTATTCTATTGTCATGAAAAGCATATATGTATGGCCTTCTAAAAGCATGTATACATTAAGATGAAATAAAGCAAAGAACAAACCTTTAGGTTTTGTGCAGGCTTCTTGGAGATCAATTCCTGCTCCGTTAGTCTCATAATTGCAATTTCAAGGCTTCATGTTTCAAAACATAATTCAGTTAAATAACGTGAGCTGATTAATTTAGCCAAATACTGTTTCATTTTTCAACTTTACTTTGTGGTCCCCACATCATTAGTCAATGCCCACAAAATGGAAGTCAGAAATGAAACTAATCAAAAGCACCTACAGAGTGAAAATAATACCTTTCACGGGGCAAATTTAATCTATCAGACTTGACAGAAGGAAGATCACAAGTGGACAGATAATGATTTTTAGCCCAACCAACAACGTTCTCCGCTTCTACAAAAAAAAAAAAAAAAAAAAAAAAAAAAAAAAAACACACACAACAGAATTCCAATATAAGTGTTTCTTTTTGACTTATTGCAGAAAGAAGAACTTAATAAAGAAAGTCAAGGAAATGAGGCTTTCTCCATTTAGCCCCAACTTTTCCCTACATTTATATTTTCCTTCCATTTCGCCAAGTGTGTTATCATTTTATCAAATATCTTTTAGTCATCATTTATCCAGACATCACTTACTGGAAGAAATAAAGAAAAAGAAACAGATCTTACTCTTTGTCGTCAGTATCACTCCATCAGTATTTACATGCAAGAGGTCCACACAAGAGAGTTCATTTTCCTCAAGAACCTGAAAAAGATATGTATTTTAAATACCCATAAACAGAAAACACTAATAAAAAACAAGTAACGCATGCATGAAATTATTGCATTATAAAAGAGAGAGAGAGAGAGAGAGAGAGAGAGAGAGAGAGAGAGGATGTATATACCTTATGCAATTCATTTATATTGCTCCTTGATATCACAATCCGTCTGTCTTCATCAATTTGTTTATTGAATACTCTAAGTGGATCTTCCTCCTGGAATGAAAAAGACCAAGAATAATAAATGAGTATGTAATTGTAAATATGTTAAATGGAATTCTACTAAGCTTCCAGTTTGTTAATTACCTTTGGAGGATGCAAAGACATGATATTAGTGAATATCTTGTATATATCATTGTCCTCTGGCCTTCTCGTTGGCTTTAGTCCCTCAGTAAGTCGCTTTAAAGAGAGAGGCTGAATAAGAATACAAGTTCCAGTTTCAGTTAACGAATGTCAACTCATAAAAAATAGCAAAATACTTCTGTTGATTTGTTTTTAGCGTATCCTATCCTATGTGTTATGTAACTATATTTTTCAGATGGTTAAACAGGTTTCTGGTCAAATGTTGCATCTTTTGGTCCCAAAATGAAATGTCATTGCATAAATTTGTTTTGGAAAAAAACAAGTGATAACATAGAGTATTTAGAAAGTAAAAAAATCAAAGAATTACCAGTTTTGCAAGGCGACCTAAATTTGGAAGGATCATAGTCTGCTAACAAAACAAAAGCATTACCAAATCTATTATTTAGTATGAAAGATATAAGAAAGGCAAGAAACATGACAACAGAAAACAAAACTTACAAATTTCTCTTTCTCTTTTGATCCAGTAGCAACTTTATTTTGCCCACATATCAAAACAACAGGACCCGATATCTGGTCAAACATTTCCTGAAGCCTATTCACAAATTCTTTTCGGTTTGACTTAGAAACAGCTCTTGACAACCATAAAGATGAGTCTGGGAAATACACAATAAGAGGTTGCACAGACTTCAACACCTGCAGCCAATCATAATAAGAAAACTAACAAACAAACAAAATACTTGTTTTACTTTTCATTTTTTATGTTATAATGAACATGGTCTGAACTATAGAAAGAAGCATGTATGCAACCTCGGATAATGCCTGCATTGCAATATAACAGTCTTCAGCTTCAGTATCAAAATCACGCTCAACATGCTTAACTGCATATAAACACCAACATTTTCATCTTCATCTTCATTATAGCATTCATTAATGTTGTTAGATATACAAAAAGAAAATTACCAAGAAGCCAATATATTGATGGTTTTGCAGATTGATCATTGTCTTCTGTGTTATCCAGGATAACTGCAACTCTTTCCCCACTAATCTCATAAATCTCCCCACGTTGACCAGTGCCTAAAGGTCTGAAAAAGAAAATAAAAATTACCAGAAACAGATTAACACCAACAACTCTATTTGTAAAGGATAAGTTTTATAATATATTCACAATCATAAACAAGCAAAACCAAAAGCAAATCAAGAAAGAATGAAAGATTTAAGTACATGAAACTATTGGAATCTTGATATACATGCATTTATCAACAGTTGTTTTATTATTATTATTATTATTATTTCATACAACTTACCAACCCACCTGCGTGAAATAACGGTATATGCATTTGTGGGACCATCAGACGTTGCTATCGACCCCAATTTTATCCTGTGATGCATTCAACTACTAATTGAACATAAAGTAATTACAGCAACTAGGGTTTCAAATTTCAATACTTGAGTTGATTTTAATGTATTCAAGAGACTTAACACAGCAAGCAATAGCAAATAAAGTAATTGCATTTGCAGCAACTAATTGGGAGAGAGATAACTGAAGAAGAAGAAGAAGACAATAACCTGTTATCTTCTTCCACATGGACAGAAGGCCCAACATACTTCACACGATCCCCTGGTTTAAACCATATAAAAAATAAATTAGGTGTTACCAAACAAAAAATGAATTTATAATTAATTACTTAATAGAAAATGGAAATGAAAATGAAAATCTACCTTTCTTTAAAGGCTCCTTTGTGTCCTCAGAACACTCGGTGTCCTGCTTTGATGATTCAGGAGGAATCTCCCCAACAACAGCAATGTTCTGTTACAGAATATAGATAGAAGTGTGAAATGAAGTTTTTGAAAAAGGTAATTAACTAATTACAAATGTACCCTTATTATGTAAGGTCTTACTTTTGTAAAATCTTCAAGGTTCCCAGGAACAAGTTTCTTCAAGGCTTCAGCTGCACGAGCTTCAACATCTTCATCATCTGACCCTGGCTCACCACTGCTAGTCCACTCTTCTTCATTGCTTGCTTCATCATCAACTTCTGATTCTGATGTCATCTCTTCACCTGATTCACCATGTTCATCATCTGACTCGTTTTCTGAGTTATCTTCACCAAAATCCTGCAACAATTAACATTTAACCACCACAACCACAATCATTTCAAGAATCCAAAAGCTAGAAAACAATTGCACATTTAAACTTACATAAGGAGCTAAAACACTGCTGTCAAGAATCAATAATGGAACTTGTAAATCGCGTGCAAGTGCTCTGATGAATCTTTCTCTGTAAAGCTCAGTGCCTGCATTGCATCATCACAATCATTAATCATTCTTACACTCAGTAACTAAAGTTTCTTTTAAATTTAACCCAAATTTACCCTTTTTCAATTCATTCATACCTGGTACACTCTGGAGCAGTATTCTCCCACTTGAAGAATCTAGACGTGAACCATATGTTGTGGTAAATTTCTTGTTTTTCAAATGAGAAGCAGCACATTCAACTAAAAGATTCTTGGAATGTTCACTGTGATAAGATGAAAAAAGTAAGAACTTTGAAAGTAAAAGAACAATGTAATAATACAATATCTTGAAGCTTACTGTATATAGTAAGGAAATGAATCCCATGAGACAGTTTGTTTCTCCCATGGAATAATCCTTCGTAAGAACTCATTCTTGAATCTTTGTCTTTTAGTTAAAAAGGGTGATTCTTTTCTTTTACTTTCAATAGCCAATTTCTCGTTAATAAGCCATTCCTTTTGATCTTGTTCACCTAAACGAGCATGTGCATCATGGTGATTCACATCCTCCTTGATACTTTCTTTTCCGATACTACCCTTATCAGACTTCAATGCGTCTTTCAAGGGCACGTGTTTATCTTCACTTGAGTTTCTTCCATCACCCTCTGAGCTATAAAATCGAAAAGAACCACTAGAATTTGTGTATGAGCCTGCAAGTAATCTTGGAGAAGCAGAGCTGGAAAACTTTGAAGGGTTTGAAAGATATCTTCTGATAATAATATTCCCAGAAAACCGATTTGTTACAAGAGTTTTTCGGGTTAAAGATCGATAACAGGTTTTCTCACAATAATTTGAACCTGTCAAATACTTGTATGGTTGAACCATGAGGTCCCATCTTTTATTCTTGTACTTTAGTATTGAATTCATTAGAGCCTCTCACGTTTTGTGTAGATTACAATAATGGCAATGGGTTCCACGATATTCTTATTAACTCGGATCTCACTTCCTAAAAAAGGGGCACCAAAGAAACAAAACAAAAGTAAGATATAAATTCCAAAAGTACCACATAAAGTTTCATACTATAAGTGTCTAGAACACCAAGCTGTTCATATATAAAACTATACGTATTCCAAAATTCACATATATTTATACCAAAACCACAGCCTTCCACAATCACATTACAACTGGGATAGTAACTGAGGCACATCTAAACAAAACTAAAATGTGACACTGAGTTTAACAGATGCATAAACGGATAAACCTAACAAGAGACTTCTAATATTTTTATCTCAATATTAAAAAGACATTCAACCCGATACCATATCTTATGCTTATGGGTCTTTAGTTAATCTCCAACTCCTCAGAAAAGACCATGAATGTCCAATGGGCTCGTTTGTTAGCTTCAAATCTTCGATAGATTTGTTTTTGTTGCATATTATAAAACAGGATTTCCGTTAAAGGATAAACAGTACATTCTCAAGCTATAAAACGGAAACATGCATGTCAGTTATAAACATTTCAATCGTTCTAGGAATGGAGGTAAACTTTAATTAACATATGACATTGACATCCAAAAAGAAAAAGGGGGAAAGAGCAAACATGATATTTGAATCAATAGTAAGTCTAGCAGATACGAAAAATAAACAGACCTTTAATTCATCTACCTACGCTGCAAAAGAAGTAAGACAATCTCAACTCAAAGACGAAACTGCGTTGCCATTGAAATAGACAGAGGGAGGGAGGGAGGGTCATTAGTAAGAAAGGGGTAAAGGGATCTGGGTGTCTTCAGTATCGGAAGGAAAAGGGGGTGAAATCGATTGCGTTTATTGATTTTAACCTAAGGAGACATCGGTTCACCGTTGTTCCAAACAGCAAAAGGTAGGGGAGGCGTTAGTGTTATGGGTTGTGGCGCAAGTCTTGGAGGCGGGCGAAACTAGAGGAGTGTTTGTGGATTACTTTTCCAAGGCAAAATTACACAATAACAATAGGGTTACTTTTGAAAGATCGACAGATGCATGTCTCTCTAGACCAATATTACATTTTTCTTTTAAATTAAATAGTTACGATTAAACAAAATTTCATAAATGGTTCTTATGGTTTTCAAAAAGTTGTATTTTTAGGATACGTTTTCCAAACGTTACACAAATGGTCCCCTTCTCGTTGTCTCCTTGACCGACGCCTCAACAAAGCCTCGCCCTTAATCGTTGTGCAAATTACCCACAAACTAACAATCCCCTCGAAAATCAAGCATAACAAAAATCTCATAACTCAGTGTATCAGCACCATCTAGCCAAATAAATTTTCAACGCCAATTCAATTTGATATCGGTTTCAATCAATTCAACTATCAATTTCAAGAAACGCCAAATAACTTGATCCAATAAATTATCAAATCTCCTCAATTCTTATTCGATTTGATATCAATTCTTTGAAACTCGGTGTATCAACACCATAAGGGAGTCGTTTTCTTCTAATCAGACTCTTGGGAGCGACGAAAGGCTAGACGTTTTTTAGAATGGATTGACCGAGGATGTGTATGAGTCTGATGTCGATGAAGAATTTTAGGACGCCCTCGGTTGTGGTGTGTAACGTCGTGATTTTTACCCCAAAATTTTTCTTTTTATTTAACACTTTTTAACAGAAAATGCAACGAAAGTCTTTTATAAAATTCACTTTAAATAAACCACACGTTACCATCTTTCAGAAACAACCCGGTTAAAACCGCTTAAGTTTAAGAAAACCATTATTGAAAAGTAACAACCAAAACATGTCTAAGTGGTATCGTTTAAGTAATATCAAACTACCCCAAAGATAAACGCTCCCAACCTACCCAATCCATGCTTCTAAGTTACATGTACCGAGCCAAAGGCACAAGCTACAAGAAACAAGTGTTAGCCCCTGCTGAGTGAGTTAATATAAGTTGCATATAGTCGTAGGGAAAACGTACGATTCCCAAATGGGTCAACAATTCAGTTTATGACATAACAACGTTAAGCAACAAATACTCCTTACTCACATATACAATACATATAACAACAAATTCATCATGTACCACCAAAAGCATAACATATCACCAAAAACAACATATATCACCAAAAGCATCACATATCACCAAAACATAACATATCACCAAAAGCATCACATATCACCAAAAGTGATAGTTTATTTTATTTACTTCTTTTTATAGTTTATTTTAGCATATTTCATTCATAATTTATATAATTTCCATGCATATTTTCCTTTTTGTTATTTTATGGCCACTTTCGGGTACTTTCGAATTTTGTGAGCATAATTGCAGGTTTTCGGGTCTAGCGGAGCGGGAATGTTTGGGACGTATGGAAAGCGATGGGAATTGGTAGACAACAAGGATCTTAGGCGTGGTGATAATGTGTCACACCCCAAAACCGGAACGGCGGAAACGTTCTGGGGCGGAGGACGTCATGCGTAGTATCATAACAATTGTATCATAGCAAGCATAGTAAACACAACCAGACATTGAATACATATGTGAAAAGGTTTACATTGTTTAATACATAGTTTTGTTCATAGCAAAAGTAAAATAGTAAAGACGTGACTCTAACGCTCCAACTTCTCCGAACTCCTGGAAGTACCTGTCTACTAATACCCTCAGAATACAAGCAGTTTTGAAAGAATATCAGCATAAAGCTGGTGAGTTCATAAGCGTTTAGTTTTTTTAGTAGGAAATGTTCTTTGATCCTTTTGAAAAGTGTTCCTTAAGAAAATCCTATATTTTCTTAATAAAAGCATGTTTGAAAACCTATTCCTTCCATGACTTCTAGATTCGTACCAAGGTATGTACAATCCAAGGTGTCGTGGAATGAATATGAATATCCGTTGTTTATAAAACAAATCCGTTTTGAATAGCCGGTTTATCCCGGGAAATTCCTATATTTTCCTTAAAGGTTGATAGTTGGTTATATGTTCTTGTCTGAGGTGTACAAGTATCTACCATACTTGTATCGTTAGACGTAGTTTTCTTGTTTACTCGCTGTGAGGTGTATTAGCCTTATTACATAAATAAAACTAATAAATAAGTGGTGAACTAAGTCCTAAGGGTATTATTAATACTTTCTAGTAATCAAATCGATTATTACTTTGAGGTTAGTTCACTTATTTCATTATTACACATGTATGTTGTTGTTATCTAGGTTGTGAGTGTCATAATCGTACTTAGACTTGATATGGCACGTAACGGGGCCAGTATATTTTTATGACTTTGTCACCCCTGGATCTATCGGTCCAACTGTAGCTAGCAGTAAGGTGCGGGATAGTCGGTCCCGTATAGATCTATACACAACAGTCACGCTCTCCCTACAAGAGATTTTGGTTACAAGTGCTAGTCCTACACCCAGTTTCTGTGGGGGTGTTACTAAGGACGTGTCTCCAACTTTAGACTAACAATTTGCATGTAATAATACTAAAAATCATGTTTACGTTTTGTATGAATCCTTTATAAAATAACACATTTTACAATATGATTCACAAATTCGTTGCTTTAGTTTTGAAAACTGTTTTTACGAGTTGATTTCTTAATCGTTTGGTAAAACTGTTTTATGTATTAAAAGCATTCTGAACATAAAATAATATACTTTGAGCACAAGTTTCCTTGTACTTTTGCTTGTATTCCCCCCCCTCCTGAAAACATGGAAAAACTCGGAAAAGCGTAGGGGTATGAACTCACCTGATGTGGGTGATTCAACGAATACGCGCGTAAGGATGAGAAGTTCCACGAATGAAGTCCCGAGACACAACAAGTCCTAAATGACATATAATGGCATATATTGACATGAATATAGTGTCTAGAAGCAACCAAATGCAAGGAAACACCTCACGGGACTAGGAAACACTTGGACCAAGTGTTGGAATCACATGTGATTGAACTAAGGGGAGTGTACGGCCACCAATGGAGTTCAAGGCCATGGGTTTGGTGTTTACGGCCAAGGGAGTTTACGGCCGTAAACTCATGGTCAAACATGCATACGAGGGTGTTTGAAGACTAGGGAAGCTTGAGGGACTTTTGCTCTACACAATGATGAAAAGGACCAACTTAATGGAGAGTGTTGAGGTGTTTACGGCCAAGGGAGTTTACTCTCGGCCGTAAACTCTCTAAATGGTCACATTTAGGGTCTTAAAGGTAAGGAGTTTCAAAGGCTTGGATGTCCCAAAGGTTAGCAAAGGCCTAGGTGTGTTTAAGGTCCAAGGCTTGACCATAATTGGAGTTTACGGCCAAGGGTGTTTACTTTTGGGCCGTAAACTCTCTAAATGATGAGTTTGGTGATGATTCAAGGTCTTACCAAGCACAAGGGGTGTTCCAGCCTCAATTCCAAGCCTTAGGAAGAGTTTAAGGTCCATTTGCACTTCATACTAGGGTTTACGGCCAAGGGAGATTGCTTGGCCGTAAACTCCTTTTGTTCATGCATTCTTGATGATTTTAAGGTTCTAACCAGGTGTTTCAACTAGATAACAAGCTAAGGAGAGAGTACTTATGATATAGAGGCTTGAAATGGTTGATTTCGGCCCAAAACACTAGGGTGTTCTTGGTGTTCTTGAGGATCTTGAAGATCTAGACTCAAAAGATGGAATTCATGGGTGAATTCAAAGGAGATTCAAGAATAAGAGATGTATTAACACATAGATGGAAGGGATCACTTACATATGTGAAGATCTAGATGAAGAAATTGATGATACTTGAGAGAGTTTGAAGAGTTTTCGGCCAAGGAAGGAAGAGAATGAGGAAAATGAAGTGCTCTTATATATATAGGAAGGGTTTACGGCCATGGTTGAGTTTACGGCCGTAAACTCCACATGATGGAGTTTATGGCTTTGCTTGATGGTTTGAACTTCAGTAGCTATATCCTAACACTTAACCCTTTGATATACTAGGCTTAGAATGCTCAAACAGACTCTAAACAGTGCTAAAAGTTAGCTAAACAAGCCTGACTTTGACTGAATTGAATGGTTGAACAAGATAGGAAAATCGGGTTGTCACATCATCCCCCCGTTAGAGAGAATTTCGTCCCGAAATTCAAGAATAGAGTACCATCATGAACTTGGAAAGAGATGGGGGTACTTCTGCTTCATTGAATCTTCGCGCTCCCAAGTGAATTCAGGTCCCCGCTTGGCATTCCAGCGAACCTTAACTATCGGGATGCGACTTTGTTTTGTTCGTTTGACTTCCCGATCCATGATTTCTACGGGTTCTTCCACGAAGTGTAAGCTGTCGTGTAGTTCGATCTCATCGAGTGGAATCACAAGTGTCTCATCGGACAGATACTTCTTTAGGTTCGACATGCGGAAGATGGGATGAACGCTGCTAAGCGCTGGAGTTTGTACGCTACGGGACCTTGTTGGGTTATGAGCATTCTAACACTCCTACTCTTACATTTGACTATTGTTAACAAACCCTCTTTAAGATATGTCACTCAAGTTACAGTCTTGGAGTATGACTCTAAGAATTGTTTTGGAACGAAGTATGACTCATCTTTTTGATTTAACCATTTCAACAATTCATGACTCCTCTTCTTAGTCATAAGAATGCACTAAGATGACTTTAGAGGACCAATTGTGATATGGTATCTTAATCATTAAGATGATCATAAACATGATACTAAAGTACTCACCCATCTTTTCAGATTTGAGAAACTTTTATCTTTCTGCCATACTTTGATTCTTCTTATTCGTTCTGTCTCACATTGAAACTTCTCCAATGCTACAGACTTATACTTAAACTTATAAGTATAATCATATTTACTGAACTTAAGTAAATCATGACGAATAGTCTTCTTGATCTTTTGTGGTGGACTTGACCATTGCACAAGAATGTGTACTCGATTCCTTAGTCCTTTCCTTATTCACATAAGGAATTAGTCTTAATTTTCCAAGCTGAAAGTTCTCATTCATCATACTACACAACTTGCATGATTCCAAGTTTCGGTCCAATTGAACCTTGGGTGATGAGAATCTTTCCTTATTTGGTAATATTAGACACTACCACAACCGAAAGAATCAAATCCATTTTTCCAATATTGCTATCAATGAAATCTTATAAGCAACAACTTTTCACAAATGCCATTGTAAGGATACTTAAAATAAATAAAATCAAAACCTTTTTCTTTTATTTTAAAACTTTGCGGAAAAACTTATCCTTACAATCCATATGAAAACCTTGTTGTTATCTATTCCTAAGCAATATAAATATCATAACTCTTAAGTAATAGCCCAAAATTCTGATCACCGAACCATGCG